GTCTCGAACCCCTGGGTTCAGGCAATCCTCTTGTCTCTGCCTCCCAAAGTGCTGGGATAGCAGGCATGAGCCACCTCAACAAGCTAATATTTATTTTAATAATAGCTGTTTCTTGCATCTTTTTCTTAATGAAGTCTAGACACTGCTAAGATTTTAAAGTATAATAAAGATATTTTAGGAAGAAAATATTCATTCTTAATTAGAAATGTAGTTGAACTTATTTCTTGATTTAAATAAAAGCAAATCTTTAAACCCAATGCAGTTTTCTAGTGATGCTTCTTTTTTCTTCCAACTCACTTCTGTTAAATGAGGCCCCCAAATCAAATATGTGAAAATGTGACCATAATATTTTATGTAGAATGATAGCATGTTTAGTTAATTTGAAAGTGTTAATAGTACAAATTACAAGCCCCTTTAGCAGTGTCTATTTAAAATGAGTCTGCAAAAAACATCTAATAGAGACTATTTTGATATTTTATATAAAGTGCTAATAGGTGAAAATTAGGATGTTACTTCTTTGATGCTACAGTCTCATGTCTCATCTCCCCTGCAGAGAGAGGGGAAAAAAAGCTTTTAATCTCTGGAGCAATTATATGAGATTCCTCTTTTATGCTGACATTTTTGCCACTACCTGTACAAGAATGCCAGGTGGAACACTTCCAGCAATGATTAAGAAAGGAGTGAGTTTGATAACTTGGGAAATGAGTGGTATGATCTTGGCACCATCATTCATATTTACACAAAAGCACTGAGTTGGGCAGATTGCATTTGGAAACCCCAAGCAACAAGTCAGTGAAAGAACTTGGATTAAGACCCAAGATTCCTGTCTCTCCATTTTTATACTTCTTTTTGTGACTCAGTCTAATCCTTTCAGGGAATTAATCAATCCACATCTACCTGAGTCTCCTGCCAGTTTCTTTTGAACCCCAACGTTAGCTGAATCAGCCTTCTGCCAGCTGTCCTCTGACTGAAAGCGATAAGGTTTACATTCTCACTTTTTTGGTTAAAAAAAATATCTTGTCTAAACAAAGAACTTCTCACTTCTACTATCCTTACACCTTCTGTAGACTGCCCTGCTTTCCCACTCAAGGCGTATGTGTATTGCCTCTTCAAAGGACTTCTCCCAAGGCAAAAATCATAGCAGTTATACGTGCTCCTTTGTACTTGGGCTTGTTCAGTGAATGTTGGAGTCTGAGCAAGATTAATGCTTTAAAGGGGCATAAAGTTAGGGCACAGGTGGTGTATGGTTTATGAATGTCTGATTGTGTTTTTAATATGTGAACTGGCAAATATAAATAGTCTCAGCAGCTAGTTTATGTCGTGCGTATGACTAGTTGGGGCTGGAGTCTCACGGGTGGTAACTGAACTTACTAAGGCAGTTGTGAATTAAGAAAGGTAGATTTATTAACGAGAAAATACAAAGATATGCTGCAAGAGAGCAGTGGGCACAGTAGCAGCAAAGGGAAACTGCTATCTGTAAAGAGGTAGGGGCTTTAGGGTTGTTTCATAGGGTGGTGTTAAGGGAGTTACCTACTGGAATTCCTCGGGATAACTGATTGTGGTTATCAATGTGCCGGAATTACTTAAAAGTGGTCAGTTGTTTCTTGTAACATGGTTAGTAAGTTTTTTGCAATATTTGCAAGTTTTCGCTTGAGGCTTTCTTCTTTAATATTGTTAACCCAGTTGTTACTGACCTATTTAGATCTTATCTTTCTCCACAGACTTCCCTTGGTTTTTTCTTCTTATCCTTTTCCTTCAGCTGCTATAAGCTTAGATTTTGCCCAAGCCAAACTTAGACTAGTTTTCTCTCTTTGTTCTAATGCAGGTCCTGGACAGGCTCATCCATAGCAGGTCCAACTGATCAGTAATGGGGACATAGCCCCAGTTTCAGAGCTCACCTCTTTGGCCATTATCTTCACCCTCATTTCACCTCTATGATCAGGCTTCACACACTGTAGCTCCTTTGCCAACTCGTATAAGATATATGAGGGGGGACCCCCAAAAACCTGGAATTGTCTCTTGGAGGGTGAGCCCCTGGTAGTACAGGCCTCCCCCCTAGGAAATTGTTGTAGGAACCCATTGGCATTACTATACCAGCAGTGTTGTTGTGAGAGGCTGTGAGAGGCTTCAGTGAATTTATTTTTCCAGATTCTTTCAACGTGTTTGCTCATTTCAGATAGGTGATTTACTTGAACAACCTTCCCATGCCACGCTGTTTTTGAACAAAAACAGCATGACCCCCATTCCCCTCTCCCCTTTTCACCCAATCTTGCCCCAAGCAACTTATTTTTGTTTCCTTGGATGAAAAAAGTCCTCAAAGGGAAACGTTTTGAACACGTGGAAGAAGTGAAACAAAAACTGCAGAAGCACTAAAAGGCATCAAAACTGATGAATTTAAAAACTGTTTTGAGCAGTGGAAAAAGAATCTTGATAGGTGTATTGCATCAAACGGAAAGTACTTTGAAGGTGACTGAAGTTTAAACTTATAAGAATAAATGCACAATTTTTAATAAATAAATTTGGGGGGTTTTTTGATCCCTCCTCATGGAGGCTAGTTATAGTCAATGTATGAATGGGTGCCATTCTGAAATCTTAATGACCCTCAATCACAGATTGTGGGCCTCAACCCCTACCATTACAGTCCATGTAGCCCTTTAGAGACCAAGTGTACTCAACTTCATACTCATCAGCATCCAGCATGTGGCAGATACTTCGTCTATTCACTCATTTAAGTGAAATAGGGATAATAATGATAGAAAACTTTTTTCTCTTATGATTTTCTTAATAACATTTTATTTTATCTAGTTCACATTATTGTAATAATACAGTATATAATACATATAGCATACAAAATATATGTTAATTAATTTTTTTCTTTGTTTTAAAGATGTGGGGTACAATTCAGGGTATACAGATGTTTATTACGCAGGTACCCTTGTTGATGAGGTGTGCCCCTCCCTCCCTTGGCAGTTTCTCTCAACTGCCAATCCCAACCCCCTCCCCTGGCAGTTTCCCACTACTGCCAATCCCTTTCTTATAGTAATACAATAATTGTTAGAAAGCATTTTTTTAAGTTTATGTCTTATGGTTACTGATACTGTGACTGATAATAATAATGATAATAATGATATTTGGTGCTTGACATTCTTAAAAGGGTTCTGGGTTTGTTTCAGGGATAAAGAGTATGATGTGAAGCCTGGAGATTGCATTCTGCTTTGTAGTGGGTTGGGCCAGGGAAGGAGTACTACCTAGCAACCAAGCAGACATCTCAAAGCTTGTGTTTTGCAGGCTTCATAGGACAGATGATGTAGTAGAACAGCTCTTTCCTTCCCACCCACCCCCTCTTGGCTTCCTGTGCATAAGTGAATAGCATCTGCCTTCATCTTCCTGAAATCTTTTCTCTTTCATACAACCTCTAAGTGAGGTATGCTCAAGAATGGATTAAAATAATTTCATTAGGAAATAACACTGGTATGAGCCTTTTTAGCATTGTATGGGTGTGTGTTAGAGAGAGAAAATGTTGATTGAGGAGGGAGAATATGAATGAATGAATGAATGGATGAATAGTGAATGTAGGTGGAGGAAAGGTTTCATATTCCTGATAGCCCAGTGAGAAACTCAGGACATGTTTTTCCATATAGTCACTGTTAGTGGGTAGTTTGATTTAAATATATTATTAAAGGATTATTTTATAAGCAAATGCATTCCAACTTCCAAAGGTGTTTTAGAGGTGATTAAATCTCTGGAGCATAGCCTATTGGAGAGTAGGTCCCCCCTTTTTTTTTTATTCAGGCAATATTGTAAAAGTCATGGATACAGCTGAAACAACAAAAATGATCACCAATTTGATAACCTTTTTCATACGTATAAGAAAAAGAAAGAACTGGAAGTCTAATCTTTTACTACAAATAACTTTCTAAGCAGTATATTTTTTAAAAGTGCAATAAAAAAGGCTTAGATTTAATTTAAATTAAATGGAAGAGTTAAAGAATGCAGCCAAGTTATAATAGTATGCCTTTTTTCCCCTCTCTGACTTGTTTGATAAAGTTGAAGTAGTTTCTTGGGAGGTAAGGTCTAAAGTCATAGAAACTGTAGGCAGTGTAAAAAAAGAAGCTTTGAGGAGGGTGAAAGAGGTGGAAATGGCAACTGTGTTTCTTAAAGTTTTCAAAAGGAAAGAGAAGTGACAGAGGAAATGGGAAGTCCGGTGGTACAGGGCATGCGTCACTGTAACCATAGCCGGGAAACAAACAGTCCAAACTCACTATGCAACCATTTTAGCTTCTCTATCCCTTAATGCCCAACACTTCCTATTTTTTTTTTTTAATGCCTTTCATTAGGGTCTGCCTGTCCCTCATTGTTCTCTCATCTTCTCTCTCAACCTCTTCATGTCTTTCTCTTTTCTGGTATGCTTATCTAATTCCTTCAGTTCATTTGTGTTTTGTAATGAAACTATAATTATATAATTAAAAAATGAGCCGGGCTCAGTGGCTTAGCCTGTAATCCCGCGCCTTTGGGAGGCTGAGGTGAGTGGATTGCCTGAACC